GGGATGGGAGTAATTCTCACTGGGCGCCAGCAGTCTGGAATAGTTCGAAGTTCGAGTGAAAGATTAGCTGTGTGCGAAAATCTGAGATAGTGGCAGAGCACCGTGTTTAAGAAGGGTGGGACTTAAGTCGTCTGGACCAGGTGCGGTGAACACCTTGAGAGAACATATGAGTTTATACATCTCGCCAGAGGTGATGGGATCAAACGATGGTTGGATGTTTGGAGAACAGGAATCAGCATAACTGGGGTATTTGTCGGACGAAGAATGAATAAATGCATTATTCAGTTTTTTAATATCGATAGCGGGAATGGAAATCACTTTCTTCTGCCTGCAAAGAATGATTTCACGCCACATAGATTTACAGTTCCTCGTCCCAAAAAACTGACTTGCATAAAGGGCGTCCAAACGTCTTAATTCACTCTTGATCAGGGACGATAAACGTTGCATTTCGGCCCTCCTGCCACATTTAAATGCGCGTTCCTTTTCACGGCGAAGACGTTTAAGAAAAGGGGTTGATATTCTGCCATGTTGGAGGAACAAAGTTATCACAGGACAGCATTTGTCAAATAAACAGTTCAACACTCCTGTCAGAAATGTCATACTTGACAAACAGGAAGACAATCGGTAACTACCTTAAGAGACGATCAAAGCAAGGCAATATTGTCTGGGGAAAGATCACGCTGACGAAACATGATGTGTTTTGGCCGAGTAAAAGAAAAGTGTCCTGAGCGTGAGTAAATCTTAGATCTGACCAGGATCAGGTTGTGGTCACTGGTGCTTAAGGGGGAGAACTGTTTGGTGGAAAAGGTGTCAGCGTGATTTGTGATTATGTGGTCTAGGTGAGAGTTTCCTCTAGTCGGTTCAAAAATCAGGTCGCTGAGGTTTAGACACAATAAAGGGTGCAGGGGTGCGTGGTTAAAGTCACCAGCTATTAGATGCAAGCTGTCAGCAAGAGATGGGGCAATAATCGGGAGGAAATTATCATAAAATGTGTCAATTTCTGGAAGTGCCGTGATAAATATCCTAACCCAGATATCTCACGAATCAAAATCCGAAAATAATTTATCCTACATACATACATACACACTATTTCAAGCAATCTGACCTATTAGAAAGCGACAACATGATCACCACTGCTGTCGGTTCGCTGCTATTACCTTTAGTGTCTCCAACTATTCAGGTACGGAGTCTTTTGGACCCCACATGGGAAAACTAGAGACACCTACTCCACATGATAGCTTAGTGCACTTCTACATGCATCGTCTATACTTCTTCTCATCATCATCATCATCATCACTGTACGGCGAAATACAGTGAAGCGAACTTCACTGATCGTTTCCAAAACGTAATCTAACGTCCACGTGGTTTTCTCCAGTCTGAAGTTGCCACCGCAAATAAGCAGCGGTGCAGCAGGCGACCGTTAGACATACGCAAAACGTACCCTAACCAGAGAGGCCTACTGAGCTGGATTCAATGCGACAGCAAGTTCCAACTCGATGCATTCTTAAACATACGATGACTTACGTCTAGGTCACTAAACCCGCTCACTCCGTCCCACTTGGGCCAGACTATGGAGGCATCAATTGTCCCAAAACCAGGCGATTGATGTCTTCTGCACGCAAATTCAAGGCCACACCCGTAAAGCATAACTGATCGTACAATATTGCAATAATCTTAGTGCAAAAGCCTCTGTTGCAACATGGTCTGAGTAAGTCAGATTGAGAACAGTCAAGACGACTAGAAGTGATACCATTTGTTTCAGTGCACGAAGATTTTGCTGTTACTCTTCAGCAGAGTATTATACTAGTGGCAGCTGGGGATAGAAATTAGTTTGTTCGAAGATTACTGTACTCCTGCGATATGTTACTAATTAAAGGATTCAGTTTCTGTGAGTATTATTTTGAATACAACAACAACAACTTCAGTTCCTACGCACTGTTTTTGCTTAGAATGGCTATCCTGAACGATTTATCGATAGGGCAATGCTGGAACACGAGGAACGGCCAAAGGAAATAGGAGCAGCGAAGAAGTCTGTTCATGTGCACCTGCCGTTTAAGGGAGATACACAAGCAGAAGTCTTTCAAAGAAAGCTAACAAGTGCAGTAAGCAGAACATTTCAAGCTGCACGATTCAAAGCTATGTTCACATCTAAACCAATTGTTTCCGACTGAAGGATAGAGTGCCAGATTCTACAGCCTCATTTTGTATATATTCATTCACCCGTTCCTGTGGGACTGGGTACATCGGCCGCACGACCAGGCGCTTACCCGATCGCGTTTGAGAACACCAACGGGGCTTGGCTAAGGACTGGAACAATTAAGACAATTATGAGCGCGATGTGTTCGCAACTCGTTGAAGCAAATCACTCGGTAAATGTGGCAGACGCGTTCCGACCGATTTACAAGGTTCGATACAGGCAATCAAAAGCACTGAAGCATCGTATCTTAGATATGGCAGAAGCCGTAAGTATTCGGATTCACAAACCCCCCTTGTGCGCCCAGAAGAATTTGTGCAAGCACTTAATCTCTCCTGGCCCACTTCAGCCACTTCAACACGTGTGCAATCACTTGAACCTTTGACACTGTGATCAATTTCACACAAACACGCACGCATGATTAGAGCCACAGCTGAATCATTAGGACTCGAATTTCTCATCCCCTGTTTCGTTTCTTATTGTAAGCCAAATTTAATGTCATGTAATAGCATGATTACGAATAAATGAAAACGAGCTTGTTCGTCACGCTGTTGTTTTGAAAGTGTTCTCTGGCATTAATGAAACGATTAAATAGAAAAGGGGAGAGAGAGCAGCCCTGAAGAACACCACTTTCTGTAGTGAACTCGGGCGAGAGCGTGCCGTAAGCTCGGACTCGGCTTTGGCTACGAGTACAGAGGGATCGTAATATTGAAATAAGCTTCTCGGGCACATCCTTCAGAGAAAGACAGCAACAGAGTTTAGAGCGGTCGACTGAGTCGAAAGCCGCTTCAAGATCCAGGAACACACAGATGGTTTGTCTACAAAAGGAATGTCAGTGCTCTAGAGTTTGGTGAAGAGTGAAGATGTGGTGGATACAACCTCGACCGGGTCTTAAGCCAGGCTGGTTCTCACGCGTGCACTCTTCACGTGCGGCAGACAATCGACGGAATATAATGCCCGCGAGAAGTTTAGAGACAATGTTGATTAATCGAATTCCTGTGTGGTTTTCACAGGAGGATCTGTCACCTTTTAAGTCGGTATGATCACGGATTCACACCATTCAGTTGGAACCTCCTCCCTTCCCATAGTGAGTCAAGGAGTTTTGTTAACTCCAAAATCAAGGCTGAGCCTTCATCCTTAAAAACCGATGGGGACAGCCCGTCGGGGCCGCAAGCCTTATAACTTTAGAGATAGCTTATTTCTCAGATAGCCTCCAGTTCAGATGGAGGGCTGATATCAACTGGCAGTATTTGAACAGTTGAAGTGGGTACAGGGAGATCTTTTGCTGCCTATTGATCTAGACGGCGTTGCTGGATATGAATCAGTGTACCGTCGAACTCCATAACTACCTCACTTACACCTGCTTTCCTTGGACTTGTACTCCTAATTAATCGGAAAAATTGCACCTATTACCGATAGCCGCAGCCTTCTCGAACTCTTTACACTTCGCGGTCGTTCCTCAAACTGTTGATGAGCTGGCGTTTAAGGGATTTGCGCACTTTGTTGTACTTTTAATCCGAAGAAATAGCTTTACGAGCGTCCAGCAAGACAACCGAGGTCGGGGAGATCTATCGTTTTTTATTTGATCGTGCGCCAGAATTTGCCGTTGTTTTGATCTCTTCCTTGATTGCCGTTCAGTGTTCACTGAGTCCTACGGTTGATGGTTGAGCTGAGGCGATCTGACAGATGGCCGATTTGCAACTATTGCTGATACTGTATTATGGGCATCCGTTTTCGGTGGCTTTTCTGAGGTTGTTTACTAGGCGTAGGGAGAATCTTGCTCGTGGCAGAGCATGATCCGTGTCCATGGGTGTTGACCAGTAGGAGCGGCAGTCCTCAGTGGATTCTCGCCAGCGATGGCTGATGGTGAAGTGGTCGATTTGAGTTCAGCGTTGTGAAGAAATTGGCGGTCTCCATGTAAGGCGGTGCCATTTTTTGTGCGAGACGTTAGCACTTGATTGAAACGGTCCGTGGTCAGCGCAAAGTTGGAGTAGGCGTTCTCCGTTGTCGGTCCTGTTGGCTGGGATTGCATGTAAACCACCAAATAGTCTCTCTGAATTGGCCAGGGATCCCACTTGAGCATATAAGTGTCCAGTGAGTACCATGATGTCTGTTGACCGAGCACTTGAAGCAGTTGAGAGGTCCTTGTAGAATCCATCCTTCATTTCTGGTGAACTACAATCTGTCCGTGCATACGCGGATACGACGAATAAGCATCGACGCTTCGTCCTGCAGTTGTTGATTCGTGCTGAACCATCCAGAGGTACGGCACAAAGTCGGCTGTTAACTGGGATCCAATCCTAACACCAGCAACACCGCAAGCTTCGAATGCCGAATCGCCTGACACACGGAGAGTGAAGCGTGGGGATGAGGTTGGAGCTGGAGACCGCAGGGAGATAACTGAAGTAAGGTCTTGTATGCGTGTTTCGGAGACACCGCATACGTCTAAATTGAAAGTTTCAAGGGTTCTAGCTAAGGTAGCTTGTTGACCGATCTGGTAGATTGTGAGGACATTAAATGCGGTTAAGCGACAAAGAGATTTTGGTTTTAAAATTCTGATACTCTCTGAGTGGTTGACCGCATTAGTTGAACGCTGAGTGATTTTCCATGAGTGGCGCAAACAGGATGCAGGTTTGGAAGGAAGGAGAGGAAGTGGACAGTTGAGAAAGATGGTTTTCCAAATGGTCAACTGAGATTCGGGGCCACGGGATACTTCGCGGCAGCCCACACCGACGAAGGGGTTTTTCTTTGGGAACCCTAACCGGAGCCTTCGACTCAAAAGTCTGATCCACGATGCAGTGGGGCGTAAATCCAACGCAGAGGCGTGGACGAAGCACCCGTGTGGGAGCTTCTGGAGACCTGTCACGCAAGGTCCCTGAATTTCGGTTAAGTGTTTTATTCGCTGGTGGTTTGGTTGGCGGTCCGCTTTCCGGGGTCGGACCTTAGCCTCATGTACCCAATGAAACAAGCGGAACGTGGGCGGAATAGCACTTTATTGGCTGGGGGATGCTCAGCTTGGACGGGCGGTAACTGTACAATGTAGTGCGAAGACTTCTCCCACCGTCAGGTGGAAGCCCCAGGTGCCCCGCTCTTACGTCCATCTCGCGGTGGTATTTTGACCAGTAAATTGTCCCTCCTTTTTAGCTGGAGTGACTGCTGCAGTAGATAGCCAATAAAAGCCAGGAGGTGCCCAAGCAGCTGGCTTTGTGAGACTGACCTTGTCCGGTATCTACCCACTGACCTTTCAGGCATGATTGGGTCTGCGGCTGTGAGGAGCTATCCTGTATAGCTCGCAGGGTCATGGAGGCACGCAAGCCATCATTTAAAAAAGGGATCACGCGAAGACTGCGCTAACCATCATGGGATTAATTTAGTTCCGATAATCACAAAAGTGTCGACTTCTGTGATAATTCACCGCCTGACACCCTTAAGGGAGAGGAATATCCGCGAACAACAAGCCGGATTCCGACCAGGTCATGGGTGCATCGGTCAAGTCTTCACTCTGCGTCAAGTCCTCGAACTGCGTCACACACATCGTCGGCCAACAATCGCAGCGTTCCTTAACCTTAAAGGAGCCATCGATTCAGTTGACCGTGAAGCTCTTCTGGGGTCACTGCTCCGCAAAGGAATGCCGCGGAAGTATGTAAACCTATTGCGGTCGTTGTATCTGCATACTTCTGGTAGCGTAAGGGTCTACGGTGGGGTAAGTAAATCGTTCGAAACCAGGAGCGGTGTCCGTCAAGCGTGCCCTATTTCGCCATTCCTGTTTCGTTTTGTCGTAGACGAAGTACTGGAGAATGCACTTACTGGTTTCCAGAACTTGGGTATTGAATGGGCAGCTGGCGAAAAGCTGTGCGATTTAGGGTACGCTGATGACATCGCATGCCTGTTTGAATCTATGGAAGATGCGCAATGCGCTCTTGACCGACTAGCAAGTTCTGTATCTCCTTTCGGCATGTGCTTTGCACCTTCAAAGTGTAGTGATGCTACAAGACTGGGTGTCGTCTACCCCAGCGCTGATGCTTGATGGTCAAGAATTAGCTGTAGTGGAATGTTTCACCTACTTAGGTAGCTGCGTTTCAAATGACGGTAGCATAGTCAATGAAGTAACCGCCCGCATTTCCAAGGCTCGAGCAGCTTACGCAGGATTGAAACACCTTTGGTGTAGACGCGATGTTTCGTTGAAACTGAAAGGTTGTGTATACTGCGCCAGTGTGCAGCCAGTTCTGCTCTATGGTTGCGAGACCCTAAATTTGCGCGTGGAAGATATTCGTCGTCTTGAAGTATTCGACTCCGGATGTTTACGCAGTTTGGCTCGGGTTGGATGGAGCGAGCTTGTAAGCAACTCTGAGGTGAGGCGTCACGTATTTGGTAATGATTTGATGGAGAATTCGTTATCCCATCGAATTCATATTAGTCGGCTTCGCTGGTTAGGACACGTATTGCGCATGTCCGCTCATCGTCTGCCGCACCGCGCCTTATTCGCAGGTACGGCTCCACGATTAGTGGTGCTATAGTTCTCGGTCGGTTATTCCGGATCGAACCTCAACCCCGTTCACTGAGGCACGCCAAAAGTGGAAATCCCAGTCTGGGTGGGCTACAAAAATTAGTAAAGCATGATTTCCCTCCCTCCTGGATCAAAGGGAAGCCAAAGTACTGTTTTAATGCTGATGTAACGGGAGTTAAGGGATCAACTACCTCCCTTCACGTTACGAAGCTAGAATGATGTTGGATAAAATGTGGAATGATGTCTTCAATAAGAAAGAAAGGTAGAACAATTACGAATAAGCAGTTATCTTATCCATCGGTTCTGTGAGAATGACTATACACTCAACTAATTGAACTATTGATTAATCATCAAAGCTATGGTGAGTGAAAGTCACTCGCTAGGTCATGCAAATACGCAAACAAGCCGACCGCGTCATGATAACGTGTCCTTGCGAGTGCTCGGGGTTACTGAGTAGCGATATCAACATACATAGACTCTCATCCGAAAAGCGTGCTTTGGAATGTACTTGTAGGTCCGCAACATAAGCCATTCTTCTAGCACATACATTGAATGAGAAAACATTTGATTTAGGCGGTTGATACTGGATGCTATCGGCTGTTGATACGATGACCTAGAACCATCAATGAGAGAGTAGAAAGCACAAATATGCAGATACAGCGATCCAATGGTTCTTTATTCCCCAGTAAGTTAGTTCAAGTACGTGTTGAACGCGGTGCTTGTTACCAGCTGGCCAGTTGCCACTCCAGTAATCCGTTTTAGAAAATCTTGTATACCCCTAATATTGCACCGTTACAGTGGACATGAAAACAGAAATAAGGATTAATCGCGGAAACTGTGTTCTGTTTGCTTGGAAAAGCAGTCCTGGCACAATTAGGAGACGACAAATGATTTGTCTGACTGACTGATTGATGGATTGGTTGATTGGAAACGTAGATATCTGTGACACAAACCAGACTGATAAGCTGTAAGTAGCTAACATATCGGCGATAGCTGGAACGATCATTCCAATACCACCCTGACTGGACTATGGTTTGAAGCGTCCAATCACCTTGAGGATCTCCAATGCATCACGGACTGTAAGTATCGTCCCAGTTACTCATGAGGTAATCTCTCTTTGCCTGAGAGCTCTGGGTAAGGGTACAGTAACTCCAATGGAATCTGCCGGTGTCGATCACATGCGTGTTTTAACGCACGTGTCCGTATTTATGACTATGTCCAGTTGTGAAACGAAGCTTTGAGATAGGTGGCAATATATCTTACTTACTTTTATCGGTGGTAAGGCTGAGAGAAAAGCAGAGCACGAGAATGCAAATAGTCATCACACGAAATCGTTTGGCCGGCATAGCACATTCCATTGCACCATCGGGCTCCACCATCACAGACGGATGACGCTATCAACCCCGAGAGACAGAATAGGGGGAGGAACACAGGGGAAGAAATGAGCACAGATGGAAGCGGATGTTACTAATTGCATGGAGAGTACATTTTTAGTAAGCTGGTTAATCCGGCAGTCCCATACACTCAATTAAAGATTCACTAACCCAGATTACCAGTTCAGTGATCGATAGAATGATGCGTAGCTGCAAAAGAACATCAACGATCGGATACTGATTTTCAATGAATCCAGATTATGCAGGACCGAGAATCGAATTCTCTGATCGAAATCTTAGCATGGAGTCAAATACACTAGACTCTTAATCTGATCAAGCCAACCCAGAGAGTTGAAAAAACAAGCTGTTTTTTAAATTGTGGTTGTTTTCACCCAGCTTCCACTGTTCCTGAGAAATTAGGTTCGGGATATTTCCAGATAAAGTTTGAATCCTGGAGGTTACCGTTCAGGTGAGAAAAGAGAGCGACTGGTGACAGAATCGAAAGGCTGAGTTGTGCCATATCTTGTGTTGTGAGATACTACTCACTAGTGAGTAGTTCGCAATAGGATGCAATCGGTGGTTTCTTTCAACGGCCAAAAATGAACAAGACCTGTTGGAGCGAATTGCTGCTGTTCGGTATGGTGAATACAAGAATGTGCATCTAATAGTGGACCGTGCCGTCAACTATTTTGTGCGCGTGGGAATTCAATAGACTCGTTCCAATTGCGATATTTTGTTGTATGAATGGCAATTTACCGATATCTTGATCGTTATTCATAAGAAACAGCTTACCTCGACCGGGTACCACCTGGAATTATAACACTTATATCGACAAAGTGAAACAGACTGATCAGTTCAAGCAGTCAATGAGTTCACCCTGTTGATGAAACCCAACGGTTCCTTCCAGTTTGTCATTGCATGATTCTGTTATTCTGTATACGAAAGATTTCTTTATATAGAACTCGAGAAATCCTTTACTTTTTCAGTCCCTGAATTGGCAACACGATTCGCAGAAGAAAAAATAGTAAAGGTGACTACCGAAGTAACAATCGATCAAGAAACTGACCTGGTGGAAAATAAAACTGTCCAATGAACGTCGCAACGGAAACAATGTCAATGGGATAGATACCGTGATGGTGAATAGAAAACCAGCTTGAACACAAAAGCTGAGCGGATCGTCCGGGTAGAGAAGAAAGACGTTGCCCGGCACTTTGTCCAAGTGCGCGAATGCCACATAACCCATGAAACCAAACTGTGGACATTAAAGAGGGAGTTGAAAAACAAGACTGAGAAACAGACGCGGCCAAAAACAACCACAAAAGTGAAACTGTAACGGATCTGGACAAAGTAATTCATTGAGTGCTGAAGACTGACAACGAGAAAGCTGACCGGGAACTTACCAATCCGTAAGCAACTGCAACAATAGCCACAGCGGATCGCACTACGTCATGCATAGCCGTTACCGAGGGTTGGTGAAGTCCGGTGTAAATGGTTAGTAGCTGACTACGGTGGATGGAAAACAATCAACAAGGAGGACTGAGAAAAACGCCATGGATTAACACATCTACGCAAAAATGAAGTTGGCATTCAAGCCGCAATGCAAAGCTATTCAGTAGATTTCAATGAATACAATAATCAACCCCTAGGTAAACGGTGGTAGATGTGATGGTTGTGTGGAGAATTTCGGAAACACCGAAGTGTAAAATACTTGAACATATCACTCAGTGTTTCTAACAATACTAACGTAACTTGCGAAAGCTGGCCACGACACCCAAAGTGACCTTCCTTATCCAGCGTACAGATCCAGAGGGCCAAACTGACCTCTTAAGACTTTTCTGTAGTGAATGCTGACCACTGAGGAAGTTTGGCTGGGAACATCTGCGTAGGACGAGTCTTCGCTTCACTAGACGACCCTAATTACATGGTACTCAATATATACAAACAGCTTCAGGAGATCTAATGGTGACCGACCTCCTATTCGCGACCTGGCGACGCGCGTCAAAACGAACACATCAAGTTGGATCGCATGAGAAATGAGAAAAAAGAATTCAAACTAGTCAGCTCAAGAGTCGTGATGTGGGATAAGTACAATCATTAGCCATCACATTTGATTTCCAAGTACAATCACCACTTCATGCAAACAACCAGGCAATCGGGAAGGACTAGACTCAAGCTTCGCTTTCATTAAAGCCCAGCAGTAGTGCACATATCTATCGCCGACTGTCGCAGGGGTTCAATCCGTGCAGCGTGTACGTGTTACAACTAAGCGAACCAGTTCCCACATGGGCTGACAAGGATTATCTATTCACTTTTATTGCAACTATGTTTTCAATAACATTCGTCTATTCGCAGGTCCAATGCAGCAGTGACAACGAAGATAAAACTCGAATCTGGTGCCGCCCCAGCACACTGCTGACCAGCGGAACTGATGACTGTTCAGGCGGATCAAACCTAAAAGATGCTGGTAATAAAATAAATTTAGAATAATTTTGGGTCCCAACAGAAACATAAAATCATCATGTGGTTGTCGTGATGATGTCTGACCAAAGTGAATTCCAATTAGTGTCCGGAGAAATAAACTCACGTTTGACAAAAAATGGATGCAAAAAATATTGGAATACACTGGATCAGTCCAGAAGGCTGCCACCAGTTCATCTGCGCAACGCCAGAAAGGAATTTCGGACCTCCCAATATGAAAACCATCTGAAATTTGAAGTTTCGGAGGAGGAGATTAAAGCGCGAACACACTGTGTACAGAGAAGATAGAACATCAGATAATCCCGATTGTCTACCGATGGAACTACTACTCGAATTTCGAGCAACTGTTAATTCTAACTGGAATCACTGTCAGATTTACAGGCTGAAGTGAGAAAAGCTGAATATATTGCTTCGGAGCATTTAACAGACCACTGAGTGTATATGAAATGGAAAAGTGCATTCGTCTGCGTGCTAAACTGTCCTCAAGAACACCAGTGAGTATTGACCGTTTGGAAGTAAAGCGACGAGTTAGGTTGAAAACGTTTGCGGTTTTTTGAACAAGCGGAAAGATCGCCGCAATAACACTCATCTCATCCGCTTAACTGTTTGAAACCAACCAACAGCGCGCAAAATCAAAATCGTCACCAATCGAGCAAACTATGTGGCTGTGAAGGCCATCATGGAGGACCACCAGGTTTCAGTTTCAGTTTGCACAACCAATAACCACGCACAATCGTGCGCCGGTTTTGGTTGCTATCCTTAGGCCAATCCATCAATCAACAGTAAATAATACCCAGTATCCCAGACGGAAAGCCTCAGTATGGTCGGGAGTAAGTGTCTAGGGTTCCGGCTGGTCATCCTGCTCTTGCACCTCGCGAAATGCTCTCATACGACCAATAATCTTGAATGGTTTCAGCTGAGGAAGCTTTACTCATTGCCTTCTCGTGGCGGTGTTTTTCCACCAAAGTGAGAGGACGAAAAGCCGACATCCGGGGCTATAACCGGGTTGGTGGACCGCTGACGGTTCACCTAGGGGAGTTGGCCAAAATCTCTGATTCCAAACCAACGAAGACGAGGCGTACGAACCACACTCACACCTTTTCGGTTGTGGTAGCGGCCACCGGCTCAATTGGGCATTGATATGTATTGGGTATCTTGGACATTTGACCCCGTCCGAAAGGCGTATGATCCGATGAACTGGACACTGGCTCTCAATGGAGTGCGGTTTTCACACACCGCCCCGCTGCCTTACGGGTCAGACTTCGGCTAGCCGAAGACTCCGGTTGTGGATTCATCAAGAAAATTCACCTGCCTTGGCCAGGGCAATATGGCAGTATTCAACCCACATGCAAATCATGGAACGTTTCCTTTTTTTTATAAAGAATATTGTACCATGATTTGCTCGGCACACAGTTTGTTCTCAGACAAGTGTGAACCATAATAATATTTAATGGTATCCCACTCCATTACTCCTAAGTATGAGGTAAAGGTGAATTAAAAATGCACACTCGTGCAAGTCAGCCCGGACCAGCATGGAGAACTTCGTTTTTCTTGTAGGTCTTAGATTGGAGTTACCAGACAGTCAGCTGCATTTTCCTTCATTACTTTTAGGCCAAATAGTGAGAGGAAGGCTGAATTGCGGTGTCCTTTTTGTTCTATTACACATTAGTGTGATGAACAGAAGACCGACTGAACCCCATAGTCACGAAGACCTGCTGTTGAGCGATGACAACCGGTAACCTAAGCCACGGGACTTGGAGTGGTGAACCACATAAGGCCTCACTAGGTTAAGCATGGTACTGAACCGGAAGACAGCAAATCTGCCTTCCAGCAAAGTTCGGTGGTGGTGACGGGGCTTGAACCTCGGACTGCAGGGTCTAAAGCATGTCGGTGACAGCGACTCAACCACTGTGTTACCACCACTAACATATGCGTGATACTCGAGATTTTTTAGTCAGGTGTAACCGCAGTGTTACCACGTATGTGTCAGCTTACCTAAACATACGCCTATATGCTTGTAATCAGCGGGTTAGCAGAGTCGACGAAATGGAATATTGATGGTTAATCAGTAAACGCGTAAAATTAGGGGTTAAATAACTGATGCTAACGGTAATTTCCAACAACGTGCAAAAACCGACACAGGCGAAAAAGATTATGACTGGCTCTGTAAAACTTCAGCTCTGATCGCATTTCACTGTGGGTATTGCAAGCAGCTCCCATTTCATCTCTTCTTCGCTAGTTTCGAGCACAAGCGACCAATTACCTATTTGAGAAGCAGTATTTCGGGGTGTTAATGAATCAATTACTCATAAAAAGGTGGACATCAATGGCAGAGTGGTTAAGCGGTTCAAGTCGCTGCCACCGGCGCGCTGAGTCTTACGGTTCGACATTTGAACTCCGCCACTGCCAACCTACTTTGGGGGTGGGCAGCTTCGGTGCCATCCGGTTTAGTGTCACGTATATACTAATAGCGTGTTCTATATTTTACACCTTATTGTGATGAACAGCGGGCGGAGAAAGATTCATAGTCACGAAGAACTGTTGAGTGATGGAAACCGGTAAACCAAGTCTCGGGACTTGGAGTGGCGAGCTACATAAGGCCCCGCTAGGTTAGGTGTGGCATTGAACCGGACGACAACAAAGCTGTTTAGGTTTTCGGTTTCCATCGGCACACAACGGGTCCTCTCGACTATGGAATTTAACCCGTCTGCTGATCTTCACACAAAAGGGTTAAATAAAAAACATGATCCAAANNGATCCAAACTTCGCTTATTTGGGAAACTGTAGCTGCCGATGTGGGAAAACTCTCGACCTCTTCTCTGTTGTACTTCCCTCATGGAATGAGTCAGGAATAGGACAAATGCAGTTTCCTGAGAATACTTTGCAGTTTGAATTTGCAAAACATACATTCAAACGACTATCACTACTCAGCTTATGCACTAGAACACTATTCAATCGAGCAATTCGTTTCTCCAAGATAACATGTCTGTCGTGTGTGATAAACAGTAGAAAGGGGTAAAACCCCATGGACACTCATGGGAACCAGCAGCTTAGACCGTGTGACTCGGGGTGATTCACCTGGTATGGCTATGCAAAGCTATCTATCACCGAAGTTAAGCAAAGGGGGATGGGGTTGGCACCTTGGGGCCCAAAGTACGCCTGTGACAGTTACTTAAACCACTTGAACACCATCAACCCGTAACACTACTTTACTTCATTTTACTTCGGCCGGCTCCTTGTAGAGGATAAGCCGGCTCCATGAATGTCTCTGAACGCTACTAACCAGGCCCGATGATTAGTAGAGGGCTGATCCAGTTGGTTTTCCACCGATGAGTGCCGTACACCATCCGAAGACCAAGTATCCATCCAAGTTTTATTTGTCCCCCTTATCGGCGGCACCACTTTGGGAAGGAGACAGTGCCAGGACAGTTTATCATAAGCAAACCCTTCAACTGACCGCTTCCCTCTTCTGGAAACTTGTTTGTACAATTACATATTCCCCAAGTATTAACGACCCATTCAACCTTACGATAAGGCAATTGAGTACAGTGATGAGATGGGCAATATGGGACTTGGATACACCCCTACCAACTAACCCTTTAATCCCCAAGATACAGGAGAGTAATTACTACCGTCACCTCTGAAAATGAAAACAGGTAACTTACGTGTAAAAGCATGGCGAGGTAGAATATCATGGCAAATGCACTCATTCGAATCAGACTTTGGACGCGTGGTACAAGACACAACGGAGTGATTGCAACGGTCAGTAACGCAAGCATCACTATACGCAGCTTGTGACGAGGCTGAAGAGGAGGTGAAAATGGAAATGTACGGAGAACTGAAATTAAAGCAAACACTACAAAAGAACTATCTGCACACGTCATCTGGTCAAATAAGCTTATGGATAATGGGCTATTTTTACCGCAAAAATGCCATAGGGTGTGAATCACGTCAACATCATAATAGCTGGTGCGGTCCTGGATACCAACAATTTGTCAAATCACGTGTGATCCAAGATCTTTAGGACAAAGGAATCAATAAACGAGTTGTAGCGCTTCTCGTGGGGGAATCGATTGTTCTCCCTATCTTCAAAAAGGGCCCGCTCAGTGACTGCGCCGATCATAGGGGTAAGCCTGATCNAAGAGCGTCACAGCTGTTAGCATTCGTCATTCTCCGCAGACTGTACGATATGTGCGAGGAACAGATCCGCGAGGACCAGGCTGGGTTTCGCGCGGGTCGTGGTTGCATTGATCCGATCCTCACCACCCGACACCTGCCCTGTCACCCTTATGAGAGAACAATGATCACTGTGTTCTTAGATAAACGCTCGGCCTTCGACTTTGTCGATATGACCACACGATGGAACTCTTTGTTGTGGTATAGAGTACCTGTTGAGTATGTATCCGTCTTCAGAGTTGTATCGTCAGAACTCAGCTCGGGTTAGCGCCTGTGGTCAGCTTTCGCTTGGTGATCGCGGTATTCATAAATAGTATGGAGGTTTCCCGGGAAATAAGCTATCTCAAAAGTTATAAGGTTTGCGGCCCCGACGGGCTGTCCCCATCGGTTTTTAAGGATGAAGGCTCAGCCTTGATTTTGGAGTTAACAAAACTCCTTGACTCACTATGGGAAGGGAGGAGGTTCCAACTGAATGGTGTGAATCCGTGATCATACCGACTTAAAAGGTGACAGATCCTCCTGTGAAAACCACACAGGAATTCGATTAATCAACATTGTCTCTAAACTTCTCGCGGGCATTATATTCCGTCGATTGTCTGCCGCACGTGAAGAGTGCACGCGTGAGAACCAGCCTGGCTTAAGACCCGGTCGAGGTTGTATCCACCACATCTTCACTCTTCACCAAACTCTAGAGCACTGACATTCCTTTTGTAGACAAACCATCTGTGTGTTCCTGGATCTTGAAGCGGCTTTCGACTCAGTCGACCGCTCTAAACTCTGTTGCTGTCTTTCTCTGAAGGATGTGCCCGAGAAGCTTATTTCAATATTACGATCCCTCTGTACTCGTAGCCAAAGCCGAGTCCGAGCTTACGGCACGCTTTCACCCGAGTTCACTACAGAAAGTGGTGTTCGTCAGGGCTGCTCTCTCTCTCCCCTTTTCTATTTAACTTTATTATAGATCTGATTATGGAAACAGCCCTATCCTCGTGCGACGATAGTGGCATCGATTTACTCCCAGGTGGCAGGCTGTCTGATCTAGAGTATGCAGATGACATTGTGCTACTAAGCGACGATCCAGGTAAGTTACAAGCTTTTATGGATAGTTTGAGTGATAATGCAACCAGATTCGGTATGCGTTTTGCAAAATGTTACTTCGAGACTGGGTCGGTCCGGCACCCAATCTCACCCTAACTAGGGAAGTAATAGTGCAGGTGGAGAAGTTTTGTTACTTGGGCAGCTGCATCTCACCCGGTGGACGCATCATGGATGAAGTGCCAGCTCGCATACAGAAGGCTCGATTGGCATTTGCCAACTTGAGACATCTGTGAAGCCGTCGCGACATCCGGTTGTCTGTGAAGGGTCGAGTGTATGCTGCGGCAGTTCGGCCAGTTCTGCTATATGGAGCAGAAACTTGGCCATTAAGAAAACAGGACAAAGATAGGCTTTCGGTGTTTGAACATCGCTGTCTACGCAGCATTGCACGAATCTGGTGGGGCAGCCGGACGAGCAATGATGAGATCAGACGCAAAGTTTTGAAAACCGCAGTCGCCCACTGGAGCAAGTGGTCGATCACCATAGATTACGTTGGTTGGAGCATGTGTTACGTATGTCACCAGATAGGTTGCCACGGCGAGCGATGTTTGCCGAGGCAGGTAGTGAATGGAATAAAGCCCAGGGTGGTCAAGCTAAGACCTGGCATGAAGGTATGAAAACCCTAACCAGGAGTCTGGGTCACAGGTCCCGTTAGGCTCCCTGGATGGGGACCTCGGGATGATCGTACCCGATGGTCAGAGACAATGAGTGATATGGCTGGGTGTCGTAAACAGTGGCGTTCGTGCATCTCAATTTCTCTGTATTATTAGTCCATTGAACTTTTCAATTTTCTCTTCAATCCTACTTTTAAGCTTTTCTGTGTTTCTCCTAACGTTCATCCAAATGGGCAGCCGAAAGATAGCAACCACAACCGGCGCACGATAGTGCATCGTTATTGGTTGTACAAACTGAACTGAACTGATGGTATGTGCTTTTTGCTGTCCCAATGCAAAGTGCTTGTTCAGGATTGGCAGGAGCCTGTGCCTGCATTTACCCTGTGGTGATCAGCTGGAAGCAGTCAAATGCTTTAAGTACCTCGGGAGTTTGATTGCAACTGGTGGTGTGATTGGGGAAAAGAGATCACATCACGAATAGCGTAAGCAGGAGCAAATTTCACCAACCTGCGACACTTGTGGCGCCACCATTACATCTGATTATCATTTAAGAGAAGGGCGTCCTTCGCCGTGGCTCGTAGTATTCTGCTTTACGGTTGCAAAACCTAGTCTCTCCGAGCTAAAGATGCTAATCGACTGTCGGTATTTGACCACCGATGTCTTCGAAGAATTGCTCGCTTCTGGTGAGAACATAGCGTGAGCAAGAACGAGGTTCGTCGTTGTGTTGGGTGTTTTTGTTACACACATGTGTCATGAACAGAAAACCGGCTGAACCCCATAGTCACGAAGACCTGCTGTTCAGTGGTGACAACCGGTAATCTAAGCCACGGGACATGGAGTGGCGAACCACATAAGACCCCATTAGGTTAGGCGTGGTATTGAACGGGACGACAGAAAAGCTGTCCACTATTAGAATTGGGTGGCGGTGGCGGGGTTCCAACCTCGGATCATAGGGTCCAAAGCACGCCACTGACAGTGACTAAGCCATTGTGGATGGTCGTTCTCCAAGACTCATCATCATCATCATCGTACAGTAAAATACGATGAAGCGAACCTCACTGACTGCTGTCAAACTCGCAATGCATACAAGGTTAGTGGTAAAATTCAAGATGGACAGGGATTGAATCTATTTTGAGGGAGGAGGAAGAAGATGAGCTATATGGTCAACACAGAGTAAGCAATCGAACTCTGCATACATACCGTTTCAAGCATTCTGACCTGATAAGAAACGACAACAAGAACGCCA